TTCCACTTGCAGTATTACAGATGCAGGAAAATGAAGCCATAAAGAAGATATTCATATTTTAGAGCCACAGGGGATGAAGAGGACTGAGAACCAATTGCTGCACTGTTTGATCACAGCCAGCCTGTGCCACTGCTCCTCTGCCTGTGGCCATGGGCAGAGAGACTACCTCCAGCTGTGGAGCTGCCAAAAAGCCTTTACTGCTGCTAACAGTAAAGGCTGCTGCTTCTTTCCACCTGGAACTGCACACAAGGGTGTGAGGGAAGCATTCTGGGGGCTCCTTCAGCATGGAGCTCCATTGTGGGATTCTGTACTCTACGACCCACCCAGCAGGTCCCAACAGGCACTGGCACCAAGCCCATCTGCTCAAATCACAGCACCTTGCTGAGCAGGCAGACTTTTTCCCTGAAGATGACCCTCTACAGTGGTCACCCTTTGAAGAGCCAGATTTTGTCCTCATAGTCCGGTGGGAGGCAGAGGCAGTGGTGGGTTTTATATGGCACATGGACAGCAGTAAGAAAATTCACTTGAACTTGTTCAGTTGGGTGTTTTGTGGCTCCATAGCCAATTGCTTCCCTGCAGAATAAGCTCTGTATGAAATGATGATGTAAATTTTTCTTATTCTGAGATTCAGCAGAGCAAATCTGCTGGCATCTTGCAGTGCAGGCTCTCTCCTGGAGGAGACAGGTAAGCAGGAAGGAAGCTGGTTTGGTATCAATTTAATTTCCCCAGGGTTATTCTATATGTTAAAGAGAGCAGGCACATAAAAACCAGATGCAGATAGAAGGTTGAATTCTGTTCTCATTTATGACAGGGCAAATGTACAGTAATTCTGCTGAAAACAGGGTTGTGCTAAAGCAGAAGGAAGATCATGGGAGACTGACCTGACACAGAAAAGCAAGTTCATTTTCTGACCTGATCTCTGAGCTCTCTGAAGAGGAAAACCTGCTTCCCACCTAGTTCTCTCACCTTTTTCTCTTCCAGCCTTTCCCTGAGCCAAATTCTGCTCTAGATCACTGTATAACGCCCATGCAGCAGAAGCCCAAACTGGCCAGATCCCAAAAGCAGAACTGCTGCCGCTTTGCTCTTGGTAGCCACACCAGACTAAGGCTTGGTTTTCTTAGAACACAGATTAATAAATCAGAGAAAACTCCAGTCTCCTGGGAGAAACAACTGATTGGGGAGAAAGGCTGACAGAGCAATCTCTCTGCCCATAGTGCCCATGCAGTGTACACCTTTCCCTCTGGTTTCTCATTTCAGTCCTGTGACTTCTACCTACTTCCAGGGCTGAACAAGTTCCTCACCTTCCTCTACAATGCCATCGCCACAAAGGCTCAACCCTGAGTCTGTTGCCACAGTCAGGGAGCATCCTGTCCTCCAGAGGAGTCTCCCAGCCCATACTCCCTCAGCAGTTTCTGATTTGCACCAGGAATGAAGATGATGTCCATGGTTTGCATTCACACTCCTATACTGATAGCAGAATCTGGCCCATGAAGACCTTGAAGATGAAGTTCTGGAGAACAGCTGACTGTTTCTCTTTGCCTCATCTTTCCCTTCTACTTCTGCATATTTTCCACACCAGACATTGCAAAGACATTTACAATGTCAGTGCTGAGTAGGTGGGGGGTGCTTCAGCTGTCTGTCCCCTTGCCCACCACAGTGGTCACACAAGAGGACATTGAGGGCCCATGCAGTAACAGCACTGGCAGACTGCACATGCAGGCAAGATCTAATCCATCAGTGGAACCAGACATCATCTGTGGCTTCTCTCCAGTGCTTTCCACCAGTTTTACTCCCTTTTTGAGGTGGGGGTGTTCACACATCAGGAAGCTCTTTGCTGCTTTCTTTCTCAGTGGTGCTTTTCTCTGCTCAGAGAGGTTGGGCTCCCTCTGAAGCTTTCAGAGCTGCTCCTGTAGATGCTCAGAGGAGCTTCACAGAGACACAGCACTCTGCTCCAGGCTCCTACCCACATACCCCTGTGCTGTGTTTTCTCCAGATATCCTCAGTTTGTGCTTTTCCTCACTTCCCTCACAGGCAGTCTAAGTTATCTCAATGTGAAGAAGCATTTCTCAAAATACAGCAGCTACCTCTGCCCCTTTCTGACTTTGAAGAGTTGTCTGTCTTGGGGACCAATTAACTGCATGCCCTTTTAAATGCATTTGCAGCATCTTACAAATATTGCCAGAAAGTTTATCAGTACTTTCCTCAGTACCTTGTGATGTGTAGCCAGATTTAGACTCAAAGAAGGATGTGATGCCTAAACTAGGACACAGGCAGATATGAAGGCTCCAAAGAAAAAAAAGTCCTTAAGAAAGAGACATAAACTCCCTTTCTCCACAGCCACCCAACCCTAACATTTCACTAGATCCGGGACACCTCTATTTCTGTAATTGGCCAATTTGACTTGCAGCTCTCCTTGCACTACCCTCACTTGGACAGCTCAGTTCCTTGCTCCCTGGACTCAATTGGCAACCTGAGTTTTCAGACTCACACTCTCATGGCACCAATTTCTCCTTTGATACCCAGTTCTCAACTTCGGATCCCAGTTTTGAGAAGAGAAACTTAAAACTTAGGCTGTTAAAATGAACACAGGTGAGAATTTTGATTCTGACCTTGAGTACAATAAATGTTCATAACCTTTTCCCAGTATTTTATCTCTTATTTTTTAGCCACAGCTAGTTTCACTGACTCTTACTTCTTTCTTACTCCACTGCCTTCTTCTTCATCATTCACTAATGGATTTGTTTTCTATTCATTATATGTAAAGCATATACCAGAATTAATTCATCTCTTGACAGCTTCGGGGCCTTCAAGACACCACTTGGTGGCCTCTGTTTCATTCCCTCTGAATATATCTCCAGTCCAGTGGACACTGTTAACAATAACTTCAGCAGGGAGGTCCTCATTCAGCCAAAACCTTAAGCCCAAATATAATTTTCAGCATGAGAATACTGCCATCAAAATGTGTGGCCAAAGATACATCCCTGCCTGTTGTACTAGACTGTGACTAAGTTTTTTTTTTGAATGTGGTCTAAAGCCCAGGATGCTGCAACAGACCCCAGCATAAGCACCTATTCTGACATCTCCAAATAGCAGAGAGAGAGGAACAGCACAAGTACAGAAGAAGGGAAGCCCATTTAGGCCCTAATTCCATTGTGTGTCTGTCCCTTCCTTGTTAAGGATGAAATAGTAGCACCTAAACTATTGCCTGATTGCAATGACCTTTTACCCCATGTCTTCTTTCCCATTTGCAACAGGAATGTATGTTGTGAAACAGCTAAGTGTATATATATTGTGTAACTCTGTGAAGATCAATAAGCTGCAGTCATACATTAATTTTCAAGTCCAAATCTTGCTTGCCTTAAGTGGCATTGTGAAGCTGTGGGGCTGAATCTATGAATATGATGGGAAGGACTTGATGCCATCACATGAAGAAAGCCACAAACAGCTGCAACTGCTTTTAAAGCAGTGACAACCACAGCTCTTCTGCTTCTGGTCCATTCAAAGCAACCCCTTCCTCATTCAGTCTCCTTCAAGTGCAACACTTTGCTGTTTCTTTCCTTCTGGAAACTAAAGAGTGAAAGAAAATCTTGCTATTTGGGATGGAATTAAGGAAAAAAAAGGGGAAATAAAGACATTTTAATTGCATGGGATTTCTGAATAAGATTTCAAAGTGGGGGTAAAAAAATAGCTGTGTGCCTGGTACACAGAGAGCCCTTTCTCTTCCCCTTTGTGGCAGAGGAATCAATGGAATTCATATAAAAGAAGGAGGGGGGTGGGAAGAGAGATAGGAGATGCCTTGCTCGGTACCAGCAGGTCACAAGTCTCATGAGGCTCAAGCAGGGCTTGCAAGGAAGTTGCTGACTCTATCTCCATGTGTACCTTTTTGTTCCTTGCCTTGGATTTGCTGGTCAGTGGCATGCTGCTTTGCCTGGCTCTCCATAGAGCTTGTAGCCTACAGGAATTTGGACAGAGTGGTACAGACATCGCCGACAGAGACTCTGATCACTGACTATCCCTTTAAATGCAGTCTCATGACTTAGTCTTTACTCCACTACCTATTAAAGAAGGAGACAAGACGTTCATAGACAGCTTCCATTCAGACACCCAGAAGGATACAGAAAGGCAAGACAATTTAACAGAGCTAACTGTGAGTAAATACGAAGCATTAGAGGTGCTCTCTGGAGCAAAGGGCATGGAGAAAGATTTGTAGGAAATCCTGAGGTGAAAGAAGGTGCAGCAATTTTTAAAATATATTTGCATACAATCTTCAAAAGGTGAAATTCTGTAAGGAAAGATATTCTGTCATTTTAGCATAGTTCCTTTAAATATGAATATAATATAACATAGATGAATGCTCTATTTCCCACAAAAATCCAAAGCAGTGATTTTGTGCTGCAAGCACTGGAGCCTTTTGCAATTACTACCTTTTTTTTTCACTTTAATAAATTTCATAGAAGAAATATCTGGGGGTGGGGGGAAAATTTGAAGCCAGCCTTTTGCATACTTGGATCTAAAGCCCAGTCTGGAGCCTCCAGTTAGATTTCTGCACCTCAAAAGGGGTGGCCTTCCTTCTGGGAGTGCTAGTTGTGACCCCCTTTCTGCTGGGGACAGAATGGAGCTGTGGGGGCTCAGCAGCATGGAGACTGCACTAAGGTGTCCCACCATGAGTGCAGGTAGCTAACTTTTTAACCAAAGGGCTCTGTGTCTCCACACTGTAATGGCCAACCATCCCATATGCTATAGCATTCTGGAAAACTCGATTCTTTTTAGTCCACAGAGTCATCATCAGCTTGTCAGCTAAGTTTTTTGTTTGTCTGTTTTATAATGACAATAGCTACTGAGTAGATCTGCACAAGTATTTGAACAGTGATCATTACTATTGCAAGTGGTATCTACACTGATGGAAAGAGAAAGTTCCTCTGTCAACTCAGCCTATTCCTCTCCTGTGTTATTAACTGCAGGTATGATTAGCTGGTGGAGAGTGTTCCCAACTCGCCTTCATGTTGCCCATTTTCTTCTCTGCATTTATCCTGTCTGCTTGTTGCTTAACCAAAGGAAACTGCATCTCCTATGATGAGCTGAAAGAGCTGAAGACGGAATTTGCCATCAATCTCTACCGGCATGTATCTGAAGCAGAGAACAGAACCAATCTGGTAGTCTCTCCAGCAAGTGTGGCTATTTCTTTGGAGCTGCTGCAGTTTGGAGCTCAAGGAGATACCTTAACAGAGCTGCAGGATGTCCTAGGATACAACATTCATGGTAATGTACTGCTTAAAAAATACTTATTGCCTTATATTTTGTAATAAATTCACAGCTTTACTAAGGTGACAGGAATCGCACACTTCATATTAAATTTCTATTTTCTGTCTCACTGCAAGATGTACTTTAGGAGTGTTTTCTTCATATTTGATAACCAGCTATCAGCTGGACAAAGAAAACTTGAGGGGGTAGTTGATAGCATGTTATTATTCCTCTTTTATTCTGAATCAGTGCTTACTGTCTTATGGTACCAAAGTATAGCTACATCTAGAAAAGCCATAAAATAATTGCTCCTGGTTTCCCAGAGGTTCATCATGTCCATTGTATCCTGGCCTCCCCTATGTGCTCTGCAAAGGATTGCCAGGCAGAGGCCAGTCATTTTCTCTCCTATCCCATTAGCAAATTTTGTGAAACCTATAAAAACTGAATTCTCTTTAAGACTTTTTTAATGTTATTACAACTGACCAAAAAGATGAAAAATTATCAGAAGGAGACTGGCAGACAGACATATACATTGACAGATGGATGGTGCAATTGCATCTTTCCTTGAAAGCAGGCTGAAACAAAACTCACTGGCAATTTGGAAGGGATATGGGAAAGACAGATGTCTTTAAATCCAGCATTAAGACAGCTGAATTTAAGGATGCTGTTTTCATTTTAGCTCTGGATTATCCTACCATCTCACATCACAAGTCAAAAACTATTTTGCATTATGGGCAGAATGTTTATGAAAAGCAGATGACTGCCTCATCTGCAAAATTTGCAGCGTACATACAAGACGTGTAGAGATGACACCACTATTTCTCAGCATAAAATTTACTTTCAGAGTATGAAGACTAAAGATAAAACCAACAGAAATTTCATCATCCTGTGCTGTAACCTTCCTTGGTCACCATCACCATTCTGTACAGCATTGAGACTCAAAACCAACACAGCAGTAAGAGATAACTCTAGCTAATATATACAGATACAGCTGCATGTACTGACACGGGGACAGTGCATCTATACTATAAGCAGCTGATATAATGAAGTCTTGCCTGTAAGACTCCTATTTCTATAAATTCAGTTCCTAAACAACATTAATTCATACAAGGATTATACCTTGCTTGACACTTCTGGTCACTGGGGGCTCAGCTATTAAGAAAGAACCTCAAAGAACAGCATTTCACAGTGAGATTCCAGTGTAGATCTCCACATAAAATGTACAAAGAGAAGTGCAGAGGTTGTTAATGACTTGCTACCTCTTTTATGCTGCCTTCTTCTCATGTGGCACATCATAGCAAGCAGACATTATATTTCCATTTTAGCTGTCTGTGGCACAAGCCACATGAGCTTCAGCTTTCAGTAATATTAATACATGAATGTGAAAATAAAGTAGGATGGGATCTATTGCTATTGGTTATCAGAGCAAGTTACCAGTAATGTGGAAGTGCCTCAAATGGTCTAAATCAAATACATAAATCAATTACTTAGATGAAAAATCCCAAATCATATGTGCATGTATATGTGACAAAATTCCTTTCTTTCTTACATGTTTGCATTAATGTTTCTGTTGCTCTGCCCTAAACAATAATGAAGGATCCAGTTAAATTCTTAGCAGGCTGAAAACAACGAAAACATTGATAATTCATTCACTGTTCATGGAGAATCTGCTCTTACATGCACTTGCAATCTTTCAATGTTTGGAAGAATTGTTCACCTTTATTCTAGTACTAAGTAACAATGTATAAAGGGATGTACCTCTAGATAGCACAGACAAAATGACATGCTTTAAAATGCTTTTTCCTTGCTGTTTTATTTTATCATCAGTGGAGTATTTTAAAGCAATTTTGAGCTGTTCTCCAAGAAAGAATTCAGGACTTCGTTTAGCTAAGCACTTTGGTGAAGTTACAAGCTTGGGATACCACTCGTCACATTCACATCTGCTTCAAATTTACCGTCTTTGGTTTCTCACATCTTTCAGAGAGCTCACCAAATGCTCCCATACTAAAGTGAAACACACAAGAAAAGCACTTTGCAATTCAGACTGTGTGAGTTTTCTAGACATCTGTTCAAGGATTTCAATATTTTATCTCTTAGAGAGTAATAGGTCTAAATTTTAATACCAAACTTCCCATAGGTGATTAGCTTCCCTGCAGGTTATTAAAGCAGCACTATTAGGTCAGAGAACACACTTTGCATTCCCAGGTGGCAGAAATCAGTAGATGTGAAACTCTCCTTTTACCCCATGAAGAATATGAACCGATGCTGTAAAAGTCTCCAGTCTGGCAGCTGGAGACTCATGGCTTCAGGATCCTGCAAGGATCTTGAAGACTTGATCAGCCTGGGATAGGTCCGTCCAGGCAGGATTGAATTCCCTGGTTAGGCACCCCAAACCACCTGTATCTCAGGTGGCAGTCCTGCCTGGCTTCCCTCCAGCTCTGCTTACACCCACAGGTGACTGGACAAACCGTGTGATTACTCCTCAGGCCTCTCTTCAGTCAAAACAAAGATTTACAATCAACACATATTGGTGAGCTTAGCCATGACCCTGGGGATCCAGAAACTTATGATCTACCCAGGGCACTCCAGGCTTCAAGCCAAGACAGAGGGGCACCTCAGCTAAGTACAGAACCAAAGGACACAATACTGATCCCCCTTGGAGATGGTGGTCAGCAATTCATATACGACAGTGAGTTACTGGGGTTTCACACAGAAATTGGGGCACTAGGTGAGGAAATCAGAACAGTCCTGGTGGTTCTGCAGAGCCAAGAGGTACTGATGTCTTGCTGAAGAAAAGCAGTGCTCCAGACATTTCCCAGTTCTCATGGAAAACTTAGTTATAGAAGGAGAATCTGCTGAAAATGTCTTAAAGGTCAATAGCAATCTCAACAAGACTTTTATTATCTGGATGTAGGCAAGTCTCCTTCAAAACACAACAAGAGATATTGGGAAAGAGCTGAACTGTGAACACAGGAAGGTTGAGGAAATTTTACACAGAACCCATAAACATCCTTCAGATAGTGTGCAAGTCCCAGGCTTCAGGTCACCTTAGCATGAATCATCCCATCACAAATCATTGCAGTGAGCAAAGTAGTGGCTGTAAAATCACCCTTCAATGGAGTCTGTGGGAACTTTGTGATTTTAAAAATACAAGATTCTCTATGTTTGCAGGACTTATGTTCCTTCTGGGCCCACACCCCAACCCTGCTTCCATCACAGAAGCCACCGCTGTTGAACTACTATGAGCTTCCCAGAAACAGGAGACCAGGCCACTGTTCAACTATTTTCATTAGTACACAGTAAACTAGAGAATACATTATGGAATTTTGGAATGACACCGATAGTATTTAAAAGGATCCTGGAAAATCAGAGAAACTTGTGAAGTGTGTCGGACAAAATTCAGTAAGAACAAGTGCAACATTCTACATTTAGAAGGACTAATCAAACATTTAAACTGGGGAACTGTGAATCAAAGAATATAGTGTCTTTAGGAAAGAATCTGAGGGATCTTAGGAATTAAAAGAAATTATTATTGAATGGAAAAGACAATTGCACTTCAAAAAAAAGCAGATACTGTTGTGAGTTGTATAAATAGAAGAGTTGCTTGTAACACACATGAATCAGCCTATCAGCTCTGTTTAGCATTGCCAGGGCTCATCAGCAATACTGGGCCAGTTTGGGGCACCATCCTTCAAGAAACAAAATAACATGTAAAGGCTAAGGGTGGCAGAGACAGACCTGGGGCCATCAGGGAGATATCTTTCCTGGGATGGGTGGATAATGGCAGAAGGAGAAGAGCAGTACTGTGGCATCAGCAGCTTGGTCAGACACGGCCAGAGATACTAGATCTCACTAACGGGAACTCAGAGAGTACCCAAGAAAAAAATGTACCTTATGAGCTGATAAGAACTGTGTTTGCATAGAGGTGTAAGCCTGATACGAAGTCAGTCACTTGACATATCTGCACTACAGTGATTTCTACAGCAACATGGAGTGCTTTCCTATGTCCAGTGCATCCCTGTCCTTGACAGTAGTGCTTGACAGTAATACTCCATAAAGTTAAGGGTGCTTCAGTTGCTGTAGTGCTTTAACTATCAGAGGACACCAGTGTCAGCACTGAAGTTGAGAGCTGCTGGGGCAATCTCTGTTATCCTTATCCTCAACATGATTGCAGCTTCTCCCTCTCTCTTGCCTGGCAGATCAAAGTGTGCAGGATTTCTTGCACACGGTGTATGAAGGAGTGACTGATCCCAGCCAAGGCACAGTGGTTCAACTGGCGTGTTCCTTCTTTGTGGACACTGACGTGCAGCTCTTGCCCCAGTTTGCTGCACGTGCTGCACACTGGGCAAACAGCAGCCTGCAGCAAGCCAACTTCACTGACCTCAACAGAACCACAGCCCAAATACAGGAATGGATCACCAGTAACACTGCAGGTAATGTAGCAACCCACAAGAATGGTTACATATGAATAAAATGTAAAATGAGAGTAATGAGAGAAATTGCATTTAACCAAGTATAAAGTTTTTGTCACACTCTGGATATAACCTTCAGTTGATTAGTTACTGAAGTCACATAAAGCAGCCTGTAATCATGACTCCATTCCATGAGGGATTTCTGGTGTTAATGACAAACCACTCTGAGATACATCTGGGCTCATTTAGGCTGGAAAACCAGTTAGGGACAGGGGATGTGGCTGATCACTGGGCTGCTGTCACATGCACTGTTCAGCAAGTAGCACAGTCCTGGCACAACTTTGACCAGCTTGAGCTCAGTCCTGGGGCAAGACTGGACCAATAGGCAACCCCAGTGAGGTCCAGGTACAGGTGAGGAGGGGAAGGTACAGGGTTAACAGTGCCTTGTGAGTTGTGCCTCTTGCCCTTAGGGGTGGAGAGTGGTCCCAACTTGCTTTATTTAGTCACACAGACCGGGCCTTCAGGCCTAGGCAAGTGGGACAGCATGTTCCCCCCTCCCTGTCTCTTTCCCAAGCAGATGGGGACATGCCACTGGAGAGTGCTGGGTCATCACTCAGCCAGGCAGCCTTGGTGAGCACCATGTACTTCAGAAGCGTGTGGCAAAAGAAGTTTTCCTTTATGGATACCCAGATGTTGCCATTTACCACATCAGAGGGCTCAACTGTGAAAGTGCCCACAATGCATCACACAGCTGAAGTTAACTATGGTAACTATCCTTGATCACTAATTTATCTATTGTACAACATCAAACAGAATTATTTAATTTCCACAGATATCACACTAAGTTATTTTCCCAGCTTGGAGAAGTCTCAGAAGGAATCCATCAAATGAAGAGACCACCCAGGTGACCAAATTGACTCCTTATAATGCCAGACAATCATGAAACAGATCCTGGCTTCGAAATGGTTCCTAAAATATCTGCACTGTCCATGTTCCATCCTTCATAGAGCAACACCACCCAGCACTCCATAAGAAACTTGTCAGCTGTAGAAAACAACTGAAAGGCACCAAGATAGTGTGCCAGGAGAAAGGAACATGAGGCACCGAGGCTACCACAGTATGCAAAGTCCTTTACAATAGCATGGAGCTCATTAGATAAAACTGCCTAGGAAGGAAGGACAGTAGGAAGTACATCTGGCCCCATGACGGAGGGGCAGGTAAGACTAAAACTATATCAAGCTCCTAGCAATTTGATTTGTGGGGTGGGTAGGAAATTTCCTGGCCCCTCAGCCTAATCACTGTCTCTTGAGTGCATGAGCATCAGAAAGAGGATGGTGTAACCAGGAGCACCAGCAGTGCACACCTGTCCCTCCTGTCTCTGGTCACAGCCTGTGTCCAAGGCTTTAGGGTAAAACTGCAGAACTTCAGGGACAAATTCTGCAAGAAAAAGGAGAGAAATTTTTATGCCACTTATACCAAATCAGTGGATGATCTCAGCATAGGCTTAAAACAGTATAAATATAGGTCAGACTTTTATTTGTATAACACATGAATACAGTGTAGGCTCCTTTCAAAGGCTTGGTGTGTGTGGGTTGCTGACAGAAGGACTCATGCTGCAGGCTTAATTTTCTACCACCAGGAATTATGCCAGTTAGCTATATAATCTCTTTCAAAATATAAAAAGCTCCTTTCCCTTCTACCATAAATTTCAGAACTGCACTTGGGCAAAAACCTTCCTAATTCCAAGTTTAAATTTTTTCAAGACCAATTTATATCTTAAGATCATGGCAGTTTTATCCTATAAGTTAAATTGCTTCTCTTCAGCTTTGATATTTACTCCCAAAGTATTTGCGAGTCACCAAGCTGCCTCTCAATTTCCTGTTAGCTAAGCTGAAGATGTCAGGCTCTTCTAAACTATTCAAAAAGCAGATGCTCCAATTCTCTACTAGTCCTTTTCTGCACTTTTCCAATTTAGATTAATCTTTCTTGAAAATAAATGACCATGAATGTACACAACACTTTTAATGAGGCTACATACATATGCGATAAAATCCTTTTAGTATTTCTATGTCTTGCTAAAAATACCTTGCACAGTGTACTGCAAAACCAGCTCGGGCTGGTTACTCTGGTTGGCCCCACCTGGGCCTTTTTCCTTTCTGCATTTTTTTTCCAGTTGATGAGTCTTATGTAAATCAAGGGGATGGAAATCTCCATGGGCATATACCTATTTTTGGTGGTTTTGAAACATTATTTGATTTCCATCACTCCAGTCATCATGGCAACCTCACTGTTTGTCTTTGATGAAAGTGTTGACAATACTTTGAAAAGCCACAGGTGATAATTTTCAACTTGGTAGCCTCTCTTTTACCTTTGCTCATTGTGGTTTCCCCTTCATGTGACTGCTTGCTGCCTTTTATTTCTTATTCTAATCACCATCACTTCTACCTGTAAATAGTGCCACAGTGAAACTATGTTTAATGTTCTGCTTAAAATCAGATGGCTGGATCTAGGCCTCTTTATCAAATTAGTTACCCAGTCAAAAAAGTCTATAGCTTTGTTTGCTAGACTACTTGATAGTGCAATTTATGTCACTTTCTATTTCCCTCTGTGACTTTATTATTCTCAACATGTCTTGAACCTTCTCAAAGAAAGACCTAAAATTTCCCAGATTATTTTATTTTTCTTTATAAACATACTCCTGCTTTCCAGACCCAGGAAACAAATGAATCTACAGTCTATGAAAAATCTTTGCTGACTCATTTGCAATTCCATATGCAAGTACTTCTCGTATTCTGGGGTAGTGATCATCCAGGCCCCAGGTTATTTGTCTCTCTGCCAAGTAATGTAAACCTTGTTTCCATCTCTGGTGGTATAATTCCTCCTGCTCTTCCCATATTTCCGTTAAGAACATCACCATTATCTTCTGCTATATCATCACATTATTTCTTTCCCACCAGTTACAGCAAGTAATTTGGATAAATCTAAGAAACCAACTTCATTCAGTGTTCAGCAATACTATTCTTTCTTCCTTTTCGTCTTGCTTATATGGCTAAAACATTTTCCTTTGCTGTGCAACAGTCACAGCAAGCAGGCAGATGGCAGTTTGCTATTTCAGAGCTTTTTAGCTCTGAACCATAATTCACCTAGCCAAGAAATCATTTCTTCTGCTCTTTGCAAGTTTGTCCTTACTGCAATGTCTTTGTGGTGTTTCTTCTTCCAGCACATCCACAGTGTGCCCACCATGCTTCTTGCCCCTGCTGGGACTGCTAGCTCCTGAATGCCTTCACTCACACCTCTCACTTGGACCATTCCCATCCTCTTTACATTTGAATCTTCTGAGAGTTAAATGACTTTATTGAGGAGTGCAGTTTCCCTTTCCAGAACTCCACACCTCATCATCCTTGTTGTTGAGCAATGTGAACTACTACAGCAGCATGTGATTTTTCAGCCCTTGATAATACCAACTCACGGAAGGGCTTTGCTACTCACAACAGTCTCACCCTTCATTCCATTACGAACTATTCAGGTAAATGATCAGGGTTTTTTAGGACTAAAATACAGCTGTTAGCTCAGGAATGGACCTTTCTCTGAACTTTCTCTTTTAGTAGAGTGAGATAAAGAAATGAGAGGGGGCTGCCAGTGCTTATACAAGTGGAGATCTCAGGTAAAGCCAGTGACTAGGAATTCAGCAGCCGAGCTGCATTGTCTGACCATGTATTTGCTCCAGAGTCCTTGCAAACTTGATGTGAAACTGTTAGTTGTGTTTGTCTGACCACTTGCCTAAATGCAAGAACTCCATCCTATTATCCTTAAGTAAGTAGCCAAAGCACTAAATATTTGCACAGAAAAGGAAAGTTCGACAAAATACTGGGATTACCTTTCATCCAGCCTGAAATGTGTGAGCTCTCTGCAGCTAGAGAGACTTTTGAGTAAAGCCAAAAGAAAAGGGATCATTTAAAATTTGCTGATTGTCAGATTTGATTGGGCCAATTCAGTCTTTGTCACTAAAAATGCTAGAAACAAATCAGTTTGAAATTAATGCAAAAGACTAGCTCAGTACAACAAAGCAGAGGCCTGAGAAAACTTTCCTTCATTATTAAATGATAGCAGTTGTCTCCCACCAGGATCCAAAACACAGCGCAAGAAAGATTAGCTTTGTGGCCTCTATCAATTGCAGCATTTACAAAACTGTTTATCCTTTTAACACTGCCACGCACAACAAACCAGCCTGGGGACAAGTAACACTGCTCTAAGAAAATGTCAACATTACTGCTTACACACACCTCTTAAACGCTGCAGCTATTTTACATATTCATTTTTCCAAGCAATTTGTTAACTACATTTGAATTCTAGCATAGCATATATATAACCCTTATGGGATGCTCAAAATCAGTTCAAGCAAGGAACACTAAATGTTCTGGCTCAATAATATAAAGTCTTTGATTTTCTTTCTAATCAACACATAAGGACTGTATAACCTTTGTTATGCCCACAAATTACATCACTCATGTCCAGTGCACTACAAATGTAAATCTTCCTTGCTTGCCCCTTATAAACCAGAATGTCTTTTCCCAGCAAATGATCCACATGCTGGGAGTTGGTTTTAACTGAGCAATTCTCTCTCCACGTTTCAAGGCAGGAGGGCTCATTTAAGAGCCTAAAAATTAATCTAGAATAATCAACATTTAATGAATCCTATTTAGTCCCTATCTGCAAAACTAACAAACCCTGTACACTAAATATTTGAGACATCCCAGAGCTATGTATTGATTGCCAAATATTTATGTATTATGAACATGAGCTACCTATAGTTTATTATTTACAATCCCTGACTCAATAAGTGTGAGTATCTATCCTTAAAGATACAACTGCTACTGCTGGGTGAAGGAGCAGATTCAGAAGTTTGGATGAGCTGCCGCAAAGGCAGCAAGATGTTTGCTTGTGACTTGTATTTAACACGTATTTAACTCCTGGCTGGCTAGCTATTGCTGAGCATTCCTGAAATGCTATTTATTGGATTCTCAGATAGTTCTACTGTGTTACAGAGTCCATCAGAAATGCCTGGGATAATTGCTCTTTGAATTATGGAATTAAAATGGTACTTTTAACTAGTTGTTACAAATTGTTGTGTAACTAAATGCAAGTTTGGAAGCCCCCAAGCTTTTACTTTTGAGGCTAGTTTTTGTAACCTTCATCTGATTTTGATAGGTCTTTGTACCTAGGTTTTCAAAAATTATAAATTTGGTGCTTAAATAAACATAAACTAGCTATTGTTTAATACAACGATTTGTTTCCTGAAATAAAGTTAAAATTGATTTTTAAAGGTAATAAAGATGGAACCATGAGGAAAAGCAGATATCAATCAACTAACCAGGACACTGTTTTTGTAATGTCTACCAGTAGTGAAACTTTAGTGGAAAGTATAAAATTGTAAGTTTATTGAAAGAATATATATTGCAAGGAAGAGTCATCACAGCTACTGTCATTGCCTTAGTAATGTTTTTTAACCTCTGAGCAAGGAGGACAGCTACTATATGAGAAAGTAATAAAATACCCATGCTCAGCTGAGATGATGCTTCAGGTGCCATTACTGGCATTAGTACTTTTCTGCCAAGATATACACCTCACTCACACAATCAGTTCTGTTCAGATGAGAGACTGTAGTGGGTTGATAGCAACCTGAGCTGGCTCAAAAGCCCAAGTGCTACAAACAACTCCTTATATCCTACCACTGCTGCTCTAAACTGTTTGCTGACCCCAACTAGGGTTGTAGGTTTGGGTCTTTTTCCCACTTCAATAATGAAGTAACATCTATATTTGCTCATCCACAGGTCAGTTCCAGACTGCAGCTCTAGAGGCTTTCAGCGTGGTCGAGTTACCCTACCTGGGGGAGAAACTCAGCATGTTCCTAGTGCTTCCCAGCCACAAAAGAACACCTTTGCCCCAAATTGAGTCTCACCTTTCTGCCAAAACCATAACCCTCTGGGCCAACAGCTTAAAGAGAACAAAGATGGACATTTTTCTACCTAGGTAAGCAATGTTAGCATGATGGCTTTCACTGCTTCAGTTGTCAAAATTCCATGTGATAGCACTGACATGAGCAATGTCTGAGCAAAATCAAATTACATGCTTTCAATTTCATTATTCATCACATGATCATAGAAGCTCTAACCCTTCCTTAAGCCATGAGAAGGTGGGCTGGGAATGACAAGACTTTTCTGTTTGAAAAAACCCTAAGTGTTTCAGTTCATCCTACAGCTTTACTTAAAATTTGTTTGGGTCTTAATCCTTTAAGGATCTAAAAGACAGAAATGTTGCTGGTCCCTTCCCACAGTTCATTTTTCCTCTTTGCTTAAGGAAGAGGAAAAACATAACCTTTGAAAAACATATGATAGCTTGTTTTTACAACTTATCAGAGTACTACAAAAGCACTGTACAAAGAACTTGAGCCCCCCCAGCAGTCATACCCCTCTTTCCATGCACAAATTCATCCATGTTCCACTTTAGTCATTCGCTGTTGTTAGCAAACACACATATTGTGGAGATATTTTCTGTCATCTATTCCAATGAAATTGCATAGCAGGAGGAGCCAGGTGCAGGAGGCCTTTTGTGGCTGTACCTACTGTATGGATCAGCATGGAAGTACTTCATTACACATCTCCTACGAAGTATTCATCACATTAGTGAAGCATTGAAAAACAGTTTGTACATTAATATTCTTTTTCTATAAGCTAATCTTTGGCAAACATTTCAAAGGGCCATTTGCTGTAGCCAAAAAATTATTAGAAAGAGAACACTTGGAGAAATGCAGAGTTCATGTGTCAAGAAGACTGAGAGGCAATCTGATTGCAACAGATGGTGGCAAGGGATTCCTTCTGTTAATGTCTTCAGGTGAAGATGAGTTGCTTGTCTGCAAAGCACACTGAATCAGGCAGAATGCACTGGGCTGATACAGGAATAAATGGATGGGATGCAAAGGCTTGAAATAAATTACATCTGCTACACCTTTTAACTCTACGAAACTACAAATCCTGCATTTAAATGAAATCTATCATGCTTATTTCAGGTTCAGTATTCAAAGTCTTTTTGACCTAAAGACAGTTTTTTCCACCTTGGGAATTAGAGATGCATTTGATCCTATCGCTGCTAATTTCAAAGGCATTTCAGGTAAGAAGCTTGACTGAATACAAAATGATCCCTGACCCAATAGTTGTAGACTACATTTGAATGATTTGGTAGACCTGGGTCTTCTGATTGATTGTATTCTGCAAAACTCTACACCACAGTTCACACTCAACTGTTCTACTTTATCACTGGCAGTTTTATTTTGAGCTGTTTTGTAGGAAAGAGGAATCTGACAAGGGCAGGGTTGGTTTCGGTCTTAAGCTTACTTTTGTCTTCTGATTTCTATCAGATTAAAAGCTATCAAGAGAGCATAGGCCTGGAAAATGGTTATTTATTCATAAATGTAGGATGCTTTAGGAAAACTTACATTCCTATCTGTGATTTTAAGTAGTCCTTTAACAGTCAGGGATGCTGGCCCAACAAGTATATATTCTAGCTCCTGACACTGCAAACAGTACTGGTATATGCCCAGCCCATGTTGTCTTGCTAATCCAGTGACCAGTGGACTAAGCTATACTTGCCCTTTCCTAAAATACTGGTGTTATGATTAAACTCTTAGTTTTGAGAGCCTGAAATTCTTCTGCTCGTTGGAAAATTTTTACCCTTATTTAATACTAAATATAAAACGAATCCAAATTATCTATTTTCTTTTGACTACTTCCAGCAACAGAAAGTATTTCAACCTAGTAATTTCTGCTCATTAAAGATTCAGAGTGGTAGCTGCCCAGAGAGATGCAGAGAGCTCATGCGATTCTTGTGCATACGAGTGAATAAATGAAATTCCTCCAATTCAGACTAACCTGCTTTTACAGCAAAGTTGCTTTCCTGGGATGAACCTCAGAAGACACTTGACTCATGGAGGCTTTTTTATGCCACTTTTAAAGCTGTACATAGCATTGTTCTATTGCAGTGCATATCTCAGACTGTAAGGACATGCACATAAAAAAAAGTGAGCAGTACCAAATTATTTTAGTTAAAGCCTACTGCCTTGTTTATTGCAAACAAATGTCAATATACCTACAAAATACACAAGAATGCATTTTAAAAAGTTAATATCTATTTAAGTAAGATAAATACCTTGAGGAAAATCAGTCCATAGACAATATGATTTAGCAGCTTCTTTCCTATGTATGCAAGTCAGTGGCTTTTGTCATACAGGACAAGGCTTTTGGAAGTATTTGACCCTGCCTGTGGCAGAGTTATGAGTTAAAGGATAGGTTGAGACCCTTCTCAGTTCTACTCTTACTCTACTCAGTTATGTGCCAGAAGAGGAAGGTTATAGGTGGTCTAAGAGTTATGTAAGGCAGAGTTTATAAGGAAAGTTTATCTTTTACTTAACCAATAAAGTTGAAAAAAGAATAGGTACCTTTTCATTTCCTCCTCCATATGAGGCAGAAGCCAAAAGCTTCAGAATATTTGCTCAGATCACATTTAGCAAAATGTGTTACTTCATTTCAGACCTGGAATAGCTTCTTTGTACCTGAAATCTTCTATTTTTTTCTTCAAAAATGTGTAAGATTTATCTAATTTTAAAAATTCTGCCTCTCCTAGATTTATTGTGCTTGCTTCCATCCTAGACTTTTGCCTGGACAAAATTTAGACAGAAATAGACAAAACGCTCTTTTAGTACTACCTTGTTTCAACCTACATGTTGGACTTTATCCTTGGATTCAGACAAGAAAGAAAAAGTTCCTCCATGTTTCCTGCTTTCTGCCCTCTGCAGTCAGCTGGAAAGACACAGACTTGTAACCCTCTCCTCAGTATCTTTCTGATAATAATTATTTTCCAAGCTCCAATTGATGTCACAGTCCCATCATTTCTTCCTGAAGAGTGTTTTTTTCTGCCATTTCCCTTCCATGGGTTCCTCAGTTCTTCCATTGTCCTCACTGTGTTAACTAGTGTCAACTCTCACCGTGTGACCTTGCCTGCCTTCACCACAAACTGGAGACCTCTCAAACAAGTAACTCTCACTCAGCATTCAGTCCACTGTTGTCCATAGTGGGAAAACAGAAAAGATGGTTGAAATACATAACAGTTATTTGATTCTTAGATTCTGTAAAAAAAAAAAAAAAAAAGGGCAAAGGCATTCTGATTTTTTTAAGGTGTTCACAATGAAATTCAGAAAATAACTTCATTTCTGGGGCTTTTTACAGAGCAAGATAGTCTTTACATTTCAGAAGCTATTCACAAAGCAGAGATTGAAATAACAGAAGATGGTACAAAGGCATCAGGAGCAACAGGTAAATCAAATACACAGACATAACTCCTTACTTCTGGAGCTTATCACTAGGAAACCAACTACTAGTCTTTTATATAAAATAAATGAAAAAAACCTATCATGTTAACATTTAAATGTATACCTAACCTAAGTACTAACTTTATACTTAACACACCTCCATTTTACATTTGTAATTGTTCATAAGAGCTCTAACTTTTGACCTCAGACTAACATGTAAAGGCTCAAATGAAAAGCAACTTTATCAGCCCAGTTTGAGAAAATAAACTTTTCCCCTGTTGGTTAAATCTGTTTGCTAAGATCAGAAAAAGAACTAGTGACAAAAGGTTAGCTACATTTTACCTATAGTTCTTGAACTGTTAAAGGGTTTGAAGAGGATCTCTTTGATAGCATGAAAGGTAAAAATGGGAAAGTTTTATACAGACAGGCCTGATTCTTACATACGTTGAAGTGTGACCTTCACGTGCAGTAGCTTCTGCTAACAGATCATTTCCATGTGAGCAGCTGGGGCTGAGTGAGTGGGGAAATACAGAGTGAAATATCAGCTATGCACTGCAGAGTCAGTAAATGACCTTCATTGCCTGAATTACATCTCAACAGAAATCCTTCATACAGTAAGGGAAGCGAAACTACTGAGCTGTGCCTTTTTTTTTTCCTCTGTTGGTCACATGAGCCTTATCAAAGGCCTCTGGCTCTTTGGTTTCCCTTTTGAAAGCCTCAGATGATCTGGATATGCTCCAAGTGAGCATGAAAGGCAAGGGCAGCCCTAGACCCCTGCCACTCACTTCCTTCTCGTGAGAGGCTGAACCTGTCCAGAAGCTGTTCAAATATCAGCACAGCAGCTGTGTGATGGTCAGCCACATCTCACTTTCTGCTTTCCTGGCCTGAGCCAACTGTAGATGTACTCTCCATGCACATTGCAAATGCTGGTGGTCTTTCACTGTGCATCAGGCCAAGATCTGGGTCGGTCCCAATTCACCTTTCTTTCAGGAAGGAATTCAAGAGGCATGTAGAGAGAGCACAGGAGTGCATCTCACTGTGGTGCCCAAGCAGTTGCACATCTCCTCACTCAAACATCCCACAGTCACAATGCCAAAAGGAACATGAGCACACCCCAGTTGCCATTTTTAGTATTCCTCTACCAACAGCTTTGAGTAAGACACATGCTGTACATATGTGGGTGTAAAGTGAACATTTGACATAACTAAGATAACCTTTCTGCAGAGCTGTATAGTTTCAAATGTTCTAATTTTCATCTTTATTGGGGTAGTAATATTTTTAATAATTTTTTCTGGTAATCCCCATACAAAATAAAAGCTTTTAGGTAGTTTCAGTTACATACCAAAGACTAAGGGTAATAGAACCTTATCCCATTGAAACCAATGCCAAAACCTCCCTTAACTCCAGTCATATCAAGCTAAGAAGCTGATTTTAAAGAGTATAATTATGTTTATTGTTTGCTTCAAAAGTTCTGGATCTAGTCACATGGTGATTTGAAAACTAAACTAGGCACTTTTTTTAGGAGCACTAAAGTAGTGCCTCTCAAACTAGTTTTACTGTGTCTTATTTGAATTTTCAAATTAATTCCATTGTTTTAACTGCTCAAAAAGTAATCCAAATCTGGAGGTTTCAGTATTGGGGTTTTTAAACAATGCATTCTTAATACTATATGGCTAGAAAGAAGAATTTATTTAAACCAGATATATTTTAATAATAGCTGAGCCATCATGACTCTTAAGGACTTTATTTAACCTAATAATTAACCCACAACCAGAGGGGAAAGGCAAATCATAAATTGAGATTGAGGATACTTAGGTTTTGTTGAGAGCTCTGACAAGAGAAATTCCAGCATAACAAAGATACATCTCTGTTGTTTGTCTCCTAATTAGAAAAGGGACTATGTTTGTGCCCTGCTTGTCTTTTTCACCAGAACAGCACAGCTAGGAATTGGCTAACAGGTTAGGAAATAGCATGGCATGACTTGAGCAGTTAGGGCTGTGACAACAACAGAAGTTACATTACCTTTGAAATCCAAAGCCAGACAGACTCACTTCAGCATCAAAATATGCACGAATCACCTGCATGTAGTCTAAGGTACTAAACATCAGTGCTTGAGGGCACCATGCAGAAGACTGAAAGAAAATGGATACATTTTACTCATGTTTTCTTTGTTGCATTACAGCAATGGTGTTACTAAAAAGATCTCGAACACCTATTTTCAAAGCAGACAGACCTTTCACATTCTTCCTGAGAGAAGCCAATACAGGTATGCATGCTCTGCCTTTCAGTAGCAGAGTCCTTCACAAATGGCACTGAAATAAGTTCAACTTCTTTGTAAATAGCGTGCCATTCGAGTCCAGGAAATTTCAACCACCATGAAAACAGTGGGGTTTGAGTCTTTAAAGCTTAAAGAATACAGTTTAATTTCCTTAAAAGGAATGAATGATAGTCATGGAAGTCAGGGCAGCCAGATTAGCCTCTTCTTTGGACATGCAGTATGTGCTCAAAAAGATTTTTACCACAGTTACAGGCACTAGAAAGATCTTGCATTAAACACCCCAGCATTAGGAACTGATCTCCACAGGGCAATTCACATTACAAACGGGCTGCATCAGCTGGATTAACATCTGAAGTAGTTAAAATAGAAATCTTTTCCTACAAATGAAATTTATTAATGGCTATACTGATGGCACACAGCAAATAGACTTCTGCCAAAAAAAATGCATCTTTTGAAACTGGTAACTTTTTCTTGACCTACCCCAGACCACCCCCCACAAAACCTCCAAACCAACAAACCAAACAAAAAAACCCACCTCCAAACATAAAAAGCCCCCCCCCCCCAAATAATAGTGCAGAGCATATCTTAGAGTGAAACATAACAGTGCTCCTTTAGCTTCAGTATCAGGTTATTTGTCTCATTTCAGATGTCCAATCACGTAAGTTACTCCCAAATCTCTGCCAAAAGAAAACACCATATAGGGTCTTCGGCAATAATAAAAAATAGCATTATGCACTATCTAGCAGGTATTCGCTCCTTTGAAGCATTAGGCCATCTCCAACAACTCTTGCCATTCTTAGCAGTGCAGTGAATTTGCACTTTTAGTATTTTCCTAAAAACCTTTCAAACCACCAAGTTTCTCTCATAACTGGGGTCACATCCATTTAGATTTCCAGGAAACCTATAGGGTTCAGTAAAACATTGGGGCCTATCAAGAAGACCAGACAGAATAATTTTCCTCATCTGCTTCCATGCAACACACATTGTTCCCTTAGTGAATAGCTGTGTATGTAACATCCAGCTTCAAAAACCTGTATCTTGCATTTTCACCACAATGTAAGCACCTAAAGAGAAAAACACTACTACCTTGGTGGGGGGTTGTTTTAAATATGCTTTGGCAAGCATTACCAGGCACTGAATAAAAGGATTTTTACTTGGCAAATGCAGAATCTTAAAATAAATAGGCATTCATAGGCTGATCTATGTAGCCTGAGCCACAGACTCTTCAGGATTAAGAATAAACTGATTTTGGGGAATAAAATGACTCAGTTTGCAGTATATATACATAAATTATATAAAGAGGAAGGAAATCAGATTTTGAACCAGGATTTTTATGTGAAGCATAAAATGCATACCTTCCAATCAACTTGGAATCAGAAATACATTTCTGTAACTTAAGCTTTTTAGTGCAAAAAGTGAAAACATTGTCATTTTGTTTGCTAAGATTTAGTGACTGAAGATTTTCAGGTATGAAAAGGGGAAAAGGGTAAACAAGATCTACTATTACTATACTTTATTAACCTAGAGTTATTTAAAACTTAGTATAGCCATAAAGTTCACAATGAATCCTTATGGAGACCAAAAGTCTTCATTGCATCAATCTTCTAGTAATAGCAGAAATATATATTCCAAGACCTAAATCAGCACAGTTCTGCCCAAAATAACTGAAACAGTTTAGAGTTTCTTAATCTGAATTTCAGGTTTGAACACAATCCCTTTGGACAGGCAAGGTAACAGCAATACAAACAACTGACCGCAAAATCCAATGAACCTGAGACAGTGATTTCGTTCAAGGAGTTGTAATAATCTCCTCTGTAACTAAAATATCAACACAAAGCAATGAATTCAGGCTCTGTTTTGCTCAGTTCAAAAGTGATTCTTAAGCCAATGCTTTGGGTAAGTTTCAGATTTTAGCAAATTTCTGGTTTGGGTTACCAGCTCTTTGGAAAGGTCTTTTTGTATTTTTTTGAACAAAAAAGTTCGAATCATTCTAAGACAAGCATGCAGTTGCAGTCAGTTTTTCCATGAATGATTCTATGGTCTGCCAATGCCATGCTTAACTTATGTATTTGAACTGCACTACACTTTCAAAATGTGGACCAAAATTGAAATTATGTTAATATTGCTTTCATTTACAGGTTCAGTACTCCTGATAGGAAGAATTACAAATCCTTCATAAGCACTAGACAGATACCCTGTCTTCTGTTCCCCCTATGGTGAGCTTTCCTCCAGTGAAACTAAACACAATATTATATGTATTTATTAAAATGCTGTTTTAAGAAACATCACTTTTGCAAGTGTAAGAGTGAGAAGGACTTCCACTACATTATTACATTGTACACACTGTTGGAAACTTAGAGCTCTCTAGGAATCATTAGCATCACGACTACAGCAAAGACAGTAAGCATATAAACATTTGAGGAAAAAAAAAAGGAACAGATTTTGCCTCCTAAATGGTTTAACAATATGGACCAACAGCTTCGGCTTAACTTCATCATGGTTAAAGTCAGCTCAACTGTCGCTGAGCATGTTGGTCATCTGAACGAAAGCATCCCACAAAAAAAGCTTTGTGATGTTATATTTCAAGCACAATTACATTTCCCTGTTCTGAAGTCAAAGCTTAAGAACAAAATTGAAATCCAGTCTGACCCTAGACAGATACAATCCAGCTGACATAGTAAGGTCACAAGCAAAAAGCAAAATGCTGTGAAAAGAAAATCAAACTGAAAGGCTGTTTCAAAACTGACACAGAATCACAGAATAATTTAGGTTCCAAAAAACCCTCCAAGATCATCAAGTCCAATGAACTGACAAGTCCACCACTAAACCAAGTCCTTAAGTGCCACATTTACACACTTTTTTGAACACTTCCAGGGATGGTGATTCCACCACTTTCCTGGGCAGACTGCTCCAGACAGACAGGTAAGAAGCAGAAATTCCCACTGAAGCAGTGACCAAGTAAATATTGCTAAAAAAGGTAGTAGTACTACCTTTACTACCTTTTTACTTTAAAATGTACACAGCATAGAACAGACCTAAAGAACACTGAATGAGGCTAAAGACATCTAGAAAAATGTGGTTTTTTCAGCACCCTGACAAATGCTGGGATACAGTGAGTGTTCAACTCATGACACAGGCATTAGAAATCCAGGCCCATAAAGATTTTGGGTGAAAACTGCAAACCACTGACTCCTAAGAAAAGCATCAGAAAGGGCTGTTTGATTCAGCTCCCAGTGAATCAAATAAGGCTTCCCTGAAGTATGGAACATCTAACACAGATGAAAGACATGGCCAGTAAAACAATCAGAGATATTCTGTACCCAACTAGAAGCACCTTCTGGCTGTTCCTGCACTTGTAAACATGTAAAACCTTTTGACACAGAAAAACCCTGTGCAGCCTTCCTCAAAGGCTACTGACCCTGATTTACTGCATTGTATCCTCAGTGAAACTGTGGGTTTTGTCATTGCTGCAGATGTGCACACAGAACATCAGTTTGTTATATGCTGCTCACCAAATACTGAAGCACACAGTACACAAGCCATCATCCTACCGTAACTGCAATTCAGCATTAGCTTTCTTTCACTCATTCTATGATTAAGAACAGAATACCCAGTGATACAAAACCATTCTTCCTTCTTTAGCACTGATACTAGAACATATAAGCTCTGGAAAGAGAAGGCAAAATGAAACATTCCAATAAAAACTGCACTCAAACCTACACGAAGATTAAAATAGAGATTTTATTGATGGAATAACAAAAGTGCTTTTCTTAAATATTTTTCAAAATACATTTATACAACTTACAATAATATATCCAAAATAACTGTATATACAAAACATTACCTTGTTTAATGCATGTGCTTTTTTTCTTTGAAAATTACAAAGCAAGTTTTTGGCAAAGTTCAACCTTAAGAGGTGATAGTTTTGAAGGTTGGATTAAGAAAAATAGAACCTGAGGGAAAGTGACACATGTCCATGACAAGCAAGAAGTTCTCCATTTAGTTAAATAAAAATGTTTTTGTAGTATTTTTCACATTACAAAAATAACAGAAGTGAGAAAAAAAAAAGATGATGGATACTTTTCTCGTCATTTTATAGAGCAGCTTCTCATTCTTTCAGGTACAGGACCTTGAGATAAGAGTGCATGTCAAAAATGAATGCAAGTAAGGACAGCAGTGCCCTGCTGTGGCTTTCTCTTGTGTGCAGTGTTTCTTAGCTGCTGTTGACATGGTTGACCTGATTGGATCTGCGATGGATTTCCTCCAGAAAACTCTCAAGCTGTTCTATCAGCATTCGCTTTTTAAACCTGTATTTAAAAGAAAGCACAAAAATGGATGGCACAGTAATACATGAAACATTCACAAAACTTTTACTGAACTTCACTTATTACTTCAGTGCACGATGAGGCTATACATACCTCATATATATATACACACACACTGTCTCCTAAAGTTCTGGTAAACTACTAACTCGCTTTTCCATTTAACGAGTACCAAATTGTTTACTACAGTCTATTCTCATCGGTTGCTGAACATCTAGACTTCAGAAATCCAGAAAAGGGAGAGTTAAGCATTTGCTGTTTCCAGAAGTTCTGAATAAATGACAAAATAACTATAAACCTAAAGTTGGCAACAGCGTTTAGGGATTATTACATCCCTTCATAGTGCATTCACAAAAGCTAGTGAAAAAGTTAGTGGGTACCAGTGAAGGAACACAGCCCTTACTCAGGGTAGAGCAGATTCCCTGACAAAAGCCCACAAATTAAAAAGTTAGAGAAATTAAAGACAAGCACAGGCATAATCCATACCTCTGAAGTCCCTGCAGCTCTATTCCATATTGATCACATCAATTTGGACAGTGGGCCATTCTGTCACCTTTGCTTATACCCCTGCCTCAGCAAGAACAGCTCCTTGCTGTTTCCAGCTAGCCCTTGCAACAACTCTGCATCTCTGCAGAAAGCCACATCTGACTGATGCTTTGGCTAAGACAGGCAGCAATGAAAACATTTTGAACTATACACCAAGTTCAGTCCTATGACTTCACTAAATACTAGTAAAAGCCTCTAGTTCCTGTTAGGCATCCTAGTCCGTGTCCTTGCCCCACAGAGACATGGCATCTGCCATAATTTCCATATCACAGACCCCCCCCACAATCCCAGCTTGACTACAGGAAAACCAAGCTCCCATTCCCAACCACTGTCTCACTGAACACCCATGCTCTGGCCCCTTACCCATCCTCCTCACAGCTCTCCTCAGTACCCCACAGATATCCCACACTCCAAGTACTGCTTCCTCTCCATTCTTCCTCATTGCCTCTCATAAGTGACATCAAAGTACTACCAAAAGAGGAACTGTGGGCTAGATACTTTCCAAAGGAAGCTGAAAAAAATGGATTGTTTTAGAAATCTACCTCTCCTTACAACTGTAGCAGATTAACCTCCAGAATTGAATGGGGACTGTTTATCAACATACACTTCCTTGCTGAAACAGTCAACACCTTTTCTAAGCCTGTGTTCAGAGTTCCTTGGAGCAGGTAAAGAAAGCAAGCATACCAAATTTGTATTGCATTCTGTAGCATTGCAAAGGTCAGCTAACAGTTAATGAAACAAAACTAATCTTGACACCTCTGGAGGGCCTAGAGATGTTTCCTGCAGGAAGCAGGGAACCTGATTAACCCAGGGTTAAATCTGATAGCTCTGCCTGAATAAGGAAAGAGAACTGCATAGGGTTTGTAGGCAATGTTATCCAGGTGGACAAAATGACCACACATTAAGAATTGCCAGCCTTTTCCACCAGTAGATACAGAAAACTGATGGTTATGGTAGGAGACAGGATTTAATTCTGATGCATCCAACAGCAACACTCAAGCGCTGCCAAATTTGGTAGGGGAAGTGTCAATTCAAGACAGCTGGAATAGAGAGGCTGTGCAAGAAAAGTGAAAGTCACAGGTGATCTTAAGAGCTGAATTTTACAGGCAATATTCCAACCCCACCAATGGTTCCACAGTAATATGCGGCTCCATAAATTTCTCAAATTAGCAGTACACTCACACCTGAACTTTAGAAGCTGAATGATTTTTCTAAAATTACCTTCTCTTTCTATACCATTGCCCATCTACATTTGGGGTGATTTGGCAGTTAGAGTTGCTAACATTTAAAAGACAAAATCTGAGGGGAAAAGATAAGGTTGTGCAAGCAACACACACCAGGAAGCTTACACGTTTGTTTTTTACATAGGGAATTATTTCCTTGCACTGCAAAGCACTGTTTTCAAAGAACTGCATGGCTGTCAAGCAGTTATGTATGGCATTACATGGTGCAGTTTTATAAGGTTAATGCAATTCAGTTACCTACCTTGAAGCTTCTTTAATAACATTTTGTAAAAATATCAGTCGTGTTTGTAAGCTTCCTTGTACATGCTTCAGTAAAAAGAAGATTCTTTCATATTCTTTAAGGTAAAGAGAAGAGCAAAATCACAGTTATTTTAAAATGCCTGTAGAGGTATCTGTTGTAATAGATCTGAGTGAAATACAACAGATTTAATTCTGGGTTTTTAAGATTTTAATCTGTATCTCCTATCAACCAGGCCTGTAGCAATGACATCCTATTTAATTAAAATTAACATGAAAATTCACAGGATATTGCAGTTTACGATATTACTGAAACTTCAGATAATTCTAATACTGAAATATTAAAAAAAACCCCCAGACTTTCATGCACATTGCTAGCTATAGCAATATTTCAATCACTCATC